GCGAGATACCTTTTCACAATGCTTTACTTTTTCAAGGCCCGTGCTGCTTTATTTTTACAAGGCCTGAGGCCTATATCGGGTAAAGGCCCTTTTACTCTCGCTGGCCTAAATTCGAAGTCCTCTGAGAATCACTTCCTATCAAGGATACGAATTCCTCTCTTTGCGCTTTCGTATGCAGACACAATATGAGGTGCAGAATCTAACAACTCCTCTTGTAAACCAGCGATCTTCACTAGGATCCTGGTATGCAAACCTCACCTTATACTGTGGCTGTGGTCTGCCTCTATGTCCAGTGTGGTAAGTACTTTCTGCAACAATTTTATCCACGTCATACTTCCCATCCATACTTGGAGGTATCGCTGATTGGCGACTTGGGAAGAGCTCATTCATTACACAAGGTAAAGCTTGGACGCATGGAACACTGGATATGTACGTAGATGAGGAGGAATCTCAATGACATACGAAGGACCATCCACATCTCCAATTACGTCTAGAACCTGCCAAGGTCCTCTGTAGGTGGGTAGAAGCTTCTGAGAGATGTTCTTCTCAGGAGCAAACTCTTTAGATTTCACCCAAACCAAATCTCCTACAGCAAATTGGGACGGGCATCTATGCTCATTTGCCTGTTCAATCATCTGATGTTGTGCTTTGAGTATATTTTCTTTTACTTTCTCAATGTCTTTCTGATATTGGACTGCCAATTCACTAGTCCCTATAGGAAGCTTAGGTACTTGATCCGGGTTGAACCGATCAATGGGTCTGCGTGGACGCCATCCCAGATGTAACTCCATAGGAGTTTTACATGTAGATAGATGTACAAAGTTATTATAGGCACTGGCAACTTTAGGCAGATGTTCACCCCAATCAATCTGATCGGGACGGATGTACATCCGCAAAGTTTGCTGCAAAATCTTGTTCATCTGCTCAGTCTGGCCATTAGTCTTAGGATGTCTGCTTGATGACATAGTCAACTTAGAGCCATAAACATTCATCAGTTGCTGCCATTGTTCACTCGTGAACCTGGTATCTCTGTCACTCACAATAGTTAAGGGATGTCCAAAGTCTTTTRCCCAATGGTTAAARAATTCCCRAATTACCAATTCAGTCTTTGCTTCCGCAGGCAAAGCTACAAAAACARCATACTTAGTGMATCTATCCACTATGACCATTACTTGCGTYTTCCCATTYCTGCTTTTKACCTYAGTRTCCATGAAATCTATAGAGACAGAGTCTCCAGGGCCGGTAGGGATAGGCAAGGGCTTAAGTAGCCTGAGGGGCGATTGCGTGGTGCTTTTGTTTCGTTGGCACATTTGGCAACCTTGCACATACGCGATACAATCTGCTTTCACTCGAGACCAGGTGTAGGAACGCAATAAAGTCCCATAGGTCTTTTTCCACCCGAAATGGCCTTCTGTATCATGGCATTCCCCCAAGATCATACTTTTGATCTCTTCATTATTGGGTATACACAGCCTATCATGCACATCAGTTCGTTCAAACAATAGACCCTGAGTTACTTTATGATCGGGAAACTCTGCTGGCTTTTCTTGCATTAGCTTAATCATGGTTCCATAAACAGGATCAGAGGGATATGCATTCCTAATCTTGTCTTGTAGGTCAACACCTACGTCTAGATAGGTCATAATAGCACTGAAAAAGTCTGATCAACGACTTAGTGCATCAGCAACAACGTTATACTTACCCTTTACTGGCTTCAATTCAAAATCAAACATATCAATTTCCGCAGCCCACCTCGTCAACTTAGGTGTCATTCGAGCCTGCGTTTTGAGCCAGCGAAGTGTTTCATGGTCAGAGTATACTTTAAAATGCCTTACTAGAAGGTAGTGTCGCCAATGATTGAGAGCCTCACGCAGAGCATACAACTCTCGTTCATACGTTGAAGCGGCCACCTTCTCGTTAGGTAAGCGGCAAGACATAAACTCTACAGGTATGTACCCATGCCCATCGTCTTGCTGGAGTACAACACCTATACCATATTGACTAGCGTCGGCGTGACCACGAAAGGTAAGGAAGGGTCCGCCACTTTGAGAACCGGATAATTAATCAAACACTTTTTCAGACGCTTGAAGAACATCGTGCAGTCTGAATCCCACTTCCAAATTACTTCTTTCTTAAGCAATCGGTGAAGGGGAGTAACTATTATCGTAACGTGTCTTACGAACTTTCGATAGTAATTGGCTAACCCAAGGAACGACCGCAACTCAGTCAAGGTGCGAGGGTTCGGCCAATCTCTGATTGCTGCTATCTTTGCATCTTCCGGTTTGACCCCATCTCCATCAATCACATGTCCTAGGTATAGCACCTGACGCTTAGCCCACTCACACTTCTTTGGGTTTAACTTGAGTTTTGCTTCTCTCAATTTATTTAGCACAAGTCAAAGGTGCTCAGCATGCTCCTTTTCATTTTTGCTGAAAATCAAAATATCATCTAAATAAATCACAACAAATTTGTCGAGCCAGTCACGAAAGAGTTCGTTCATCGTTCTTTGGAAAGTGGCAGGGGCATTTGTGAGACCAAAGGGCAAAACTACGAACTCATAATGCCCATACCTTGTCCTGAAGGCAGTCTTATGTTGGTCTTCCGGCTCAACCTCAATCTGATGGTAGCCGGATTTTAGATCAATCTTTGAGAATACTTTGCTCCCCTGCACGCGGTCCAGCAAATCATCTATTCGCGGTAATGGTTCAACATTCTTTATAGTTATGTCATTTAATCTCCTATAGTCTATACACATGCGAACGCCGCTATCCTTTTTAGGCACAAAGAGCACAGGCGCACCATAGGGTGAGGAGCTAGGTCTTATCCAACCATTTTTCAACAACTCATTGAGTTGGGTTCGCAGTTCATCCAATTCCTGGGGCGACATACGATAGATAGGCCCCTTCGGGGGCGCGCTCCCTGGAATGATATCAATGCGGTGGCGGATTGGTCTTTCCATCAGACCGCTTGGGGCTTCAGCCACATCTGCGAACTCTTTCAGGATCCTTTCAATCTTGTGGGACCTGACTTCTTCCTTTGTTTTTCCTTCCTTTACTGGGCGCACATATACGCATTTCAGTCTAGGCTTGGCGACGAGCGGCCAACTCATCACCCACGCCAGCGAGGGATCCATCTAGAGAGATGCATACGTTTGCCACCTCTGGACAGTGCACTAGATGGGGACTTCCTTCCTCTTCAGTTTCTGCCATTGGGGCCTTCGAATGGGAGGATTCTGATTTTTCAACATTCGAAGCCCCGATAGAGGCAACTGGCACCTCTACAAGTTGTTCCCTTTTGCCCCCCTATAGTCAGGGCAATAAGGGACAATGTGGTCGGGGTCCCCACATTTGAGGCATTGATCTGCCTTCTTCCTTTCAGCCCAGACTTTTTCTGTAATTCCCAACTCTTTCCAAGGCTCTCCTTCCGGTAGGCCTGGATGTGGTGGGTATGGCTTATCCCACTTGTTGTACCATGRGCCTCTTCCTCTACCCCAGGTGGAGTAAGAACCACGGCCACCGTATGAGGGACCATTTCCCCTTCCTCCCACGTAGTGGCTTCCTTCACCACCACCCCTCTGGGTGCCGAATCCTCGTCCACCACGGCCGCGACCTCGTCCTCGGCCACGCCCTCTTCCTTGATGCCCTCCCTCGCGGGCTGCAAGAGCCGCGTAACTCCCCTCCTGAGCTACCGGTCTGTTGGGTTCATCGAGACCATARTTAACCTGATCCCAGGAGATGGTCTCGGCGCTCCCTTCTTCAAAGGTTAGAAGGAGACTGTCTTTCCCAAGTATAGACCCTGAGATAGTGCGGTTTTGCCATCTCTTWCCCGCTTGCAGATCCTTCCACTAATGGCAATAGTTCGCCTCGGCGAGGAAGTCGGCGTGATCTATGGCGATCTTGCCGAACTTCTCATACGTCATCCCCTCTTCTTTAGTCCGGGGATAGAGTTGTGTGCGTAGGGGATCCGGGAGTGCTCGTGCAAAACTACTTAGGATTTGGGCCGGCGTTAATCCATGATCAGGGCATTGCAACAATTCATCCATAGTTGCCTTTAATGCAGAAGTGCTCTTCCATTTCCTACCGGCGAGGCTGAGGATCAACATTTTTGTGCTCCTTGCCAGGTTCTTGTCCTCAAATCTCTCTTACCGCTTTAAGGAAATCCTCAATACGGGTCTGTTGCGAATACTCTACCATAGAGTTGCATCCCGCTTCCTTTTGCAGCAAGATGGCGAAGCTCATGGCGTCGCCTCCCATGCATGATGTCGCCATCAATACCCTGTCCCAACAAGGAATACGCTGCCCGTACACATAAGTTTCGATTGCTGCCGCCCAGTGTAACACACTTTCTTCTTTTGTTCCATTGTAGGTCCAGGGCAGTTTAATTTTTATCTTGTTAACTTGCCCGGTTTCCTGAGGAAGTTTTTCTTTCGGATCCCCAACCTTCCTCTTTCCTTTCTTATCATCATCGTCGTCGCCATCCCCATCTCCGCCGTTACCTCCAGCTCCCTTTACAATCTTCTCTACGACTTCCGGGGTGAAGACTTTATTAATATGTTCGTCCAAAGCCTGGATGTTAGTTTGCACATGTTGGTCAACATCCTTGGCTGACTTTTCCACAAAGTTATTCCAGACGTTTTCGAATTCAACTCGATGCGCTTCAACCCTTTGTAGAGTCTGATGCATTAACTTCATATCTTGCCTTGTGTTGAGGACTGTCTCCCTGAGGAGAGCAAGTTGTGCTTCGGTTTCAGAGGGACTTTCCTTTTGCGCTTCTAGAGCTTTCTGCAATTTCTCCCCCTTCGCATGCAACTTCTTTTTCTCTTCTACTTCTTGCCGCCTAGCGGCCAACAGCCTGCGATTTAGTTTAGACCTTTTCTCTTCCAGCATCAGATTTCGTTCAACAGCATCTGTGACGGTGGCCAACTTGGTGATGAACGTATCTCGTTCTTCATCAGTTTCCTTTAATGGCTCGCTGGAGTAGTAGTACCGGCTGCCCCAGTCCAGCGGTTCAACGTGAAGGCGGGTCGTTGTACTGCTTTCGGGTATATCTTGGCGACGTCTCTGCAGTGTTTGTTCTTCCTCCTGTTCTTCTACTTCACTTTCTTCTATACTCTTCAACTCCTCTTCCAGTTCTCTCTCCATCTTCTCTTTCATCTTCTTTCTTGCTTCTTCTTCTTTCTGTTTTTTCTTTGCTTCTTTCTCCTTTTTCTTATCTGCCAGCCTGCGGTCTATTTCTGCCTGCTCCGCAGGTGTAGGGCCAGGCTTCACTGTTCCAGACCGCATCAGCATGCGGGACGTGCACACACGCCCGAACCCCAGTGGGAACATAAGCTGGAACAGCGGTCCCAACAAGACAGAAAGGGCCAACAGGCCCTGAATGGGATAGTCATCCATGATGACTACTGGCACAGGAAACCCTCCGCCGGGTCACCAAGGTACTATCCCACTTACGAACTTGATCTTGCCTTGCGGTAATGGAGTAGTTATACTTCCGTTTTTCTCTTTCTTTTTAACGGTGGAAGGTGCTGCGTACAATCAATAATAGACCAAACTAGAATGAACTTGAATATGTCTATTTATTTTTTTTTGATTTGCTGTCTGGCCTCCTGGATCGAACTTTTGGTAATGTGTTTCTGTTGTCTTGCTTCCTCTCTTGATATAGACTCTTTTTTTTTTTTTTTTTTTCTAACTTGCTGGGTGTCTGATGTAGGTATGGAGTACAGCGCAGATTCTGATGATTCACTTATCCAACCAGGCAGGAATACTTCGTTCCAATGTTTTTCTGTTGGGCCCAACAGGCCCTGTAGATACTCAATACCATCCTTATACTGCCTGGTACATGCTATCTGACGTGGCACATAGCCACTTCCCACATCGATTCTTGGTTCTTGATAACGCTACCCAGCCTGCCTATCAAGAGGGATAGGAGAGAGACCTACTGGACCACCTACTCTAGTGTGACCAGTCCCTTACACATCACACTTGGGTCATCAGACTCTGACGGCTCAGACCTGACAGCTATGACAACCCAGATCCAGACTTCGACTCCTGACCAGATCAGCAGCAGTCACCTTCAGAGGGTCAGAGAGAGAGAAGGTAGGGGACACACACATGCATGCAGGTTCAGGGAAAAGAGGTGCTTCTCTCTTCTTGAAGATACCGCCGATGGTGCTCCAGGACGCTCCGCACGCTCCAGGTAAGTAGACTTCGCCACTTCTTCTTTGGCTTGCTTTCCCCACTATCAAAACCCTTCTTCTCTTCCTCCCTCCTTCACTCTTCCTCCATCACCACTTCGTCTCGCCGGCCTTGATCAGACCAGCGCTATGAGTATAGCGAGCATCTGCTCCGATACCAAAATTGCATGGGTCCTGGGGACCATCTCACGCAGATGTGTACATGTCATGCATCATCTTCACATGCAGTGATCAATAGTCTCAACCATAGACAAAGGTA